TCACAAAATCCATAGTAATCGAGTCCCACTTCCATTCCGGAACATCCAACAGTCTCAACAAACCCATAGGTCTCTTATGCTCCGCCTTGACCTTTTGGCAATTCAAACACTTGGCGATATACTCTACAATGTCTCTTTTCATACCGCACCACAAAAAATGTCCTTTCAAATCTTTATACGTCTTATCGAAACCGGGATGCACTGAATATGGAGAACTATGAGCTTCTTTAAGTATTCTTTCCTTAATATCCAACTGATCCTTTGGTACACATCATCTGTCTCGAAATCTTAGACTTCCATCCCGACCAACATGGAATTCGCTTATTTCACCTTGTTGCACCTTTATCACTAAGTTAGTAAATCATCGTCATCAACCTGAGCTTCCCGAATCTCCCTCAAAATCTCGGGCATAATCGACAAGGCACCCATATATCCTTCAATCACCTTAGGACCCACGACCTCAATTTGTAGATTCTCAAACTCATGACACAACTCTACGGGTAATGTCATTGAACATACGTCATGACTTGACTTCCGACTCAAAGCATCAGCAACCACATTCGCCTTGCCTTCCTGATATAAAATATCAAAGTCATAGTCCTTTACTAATTCCAACCACCTCCGTTGTCTCTCTCTTTGAGTGAATATGTATTTCAAACTCTTATGGTCGGTATAAATCTTGCAATGAACTCCGTAAAGGTAATGTCGCCATATCTTGAGACCAAACACGACAGCCGCCATTTCCAAGTCATGAGTCGGATAGTTCTCTTCATGCAATTTGAGTTGCCTCGAAGCATATGCTATCACCCTTCCATCTTGCATCAACATACACCCCAATCCTCGTCTTGATGCGTCACAATACACATCGAACTCCCGGCCATCTATCGGCAATTCCAACACCAGTGCAACCATCAACCTTTATTTCAACTCTCGAAAAGCTTGTTCACATGATTCGTTCCACACTACTTGACATTTTTCTTCAACAACGATGTTAATGGCCTTGCCAATTGTGTAAAGTCTTGCACAAACCTCCGATAATACCCGGCCAACCCCAAAAAGCTCATAATCTCTGTCTGCGTCTTTGGTCGGGGCCAATTTTCAATAGCGCTCACTTTTGATGGGTCGACCGAAACACCATCCCTCGAAATAACATGCCCCAAAAATGCTACTTCGTTCAACCAAAATTCACACTTAGACAATTTAGCATAAAAGTGATGCTCCCTCAATACTTGTAGAACTAATCTGAGGTGATTCGCATGATTCTCCTCGCTCGATGAATACACCAATATATCATCAATGAAGACCACAACGAACTTATCCAAATATAGTCTGAAGACTCTATTCATCAAGTCCATGAAGGCAGCCAGAGCGTTTGTCAACCCAAATGACATCACCGTAAACTCATAGTGCCCATAACGAGTTCGAAATGTCTCTGTCTGAAATCCAATGCTGATGATATCCCGACCTCAAATCTATCTTCAAGAATACGCTTGATCCCTTTAGTTGATCAAAGAGGTCGTCAATCCTTGGGAGAGGATATTTATTCTTAACGGTAACTTGGTTTAATCATCGATAATCAATGCACAACCAAAGACTACCATCCTTCTTCTTAACAAATAGAACGGGCGCTCCCCAAGGAGAATTACTCGGCCGGATATACCCTTTATCCAACAACTCTTGAAGTTGCTTGTTCAATTCGGCCAACTCCTTAGGTGTCATGCGGTAGGGAGGCTTAGACACCGGTTCTGCTCCTAGAATTATATCAATCGTGAAATCTATCTCACGGTGAGGTGGCATACCAAGTATCTCATCAGGAAATACATCCACAAACTCTTTTACCACCGGCATGTTCAAAAGACGACTCTCATGTCCCAAGACATCATGCACTTCACATAGGAACAATGGGTGACCCTTACGAGTTAACTCATGCAGAGGGACAACATACACTATCTTAATCGATGGGCAATAAGGAATCTCCTCACACACAACTTCTCCACCACAAGGGCTCTAAAGAAAGATCTTTCTCCCACCATAATCTATTCGGGTCTGATAGGTAGCCAACCAATCCATACCTAAAATGATATCGAACTCCACCAATTTAAGCTTCAAAAGATTAGTAGGGAATTCTATGTCTCCGATCATTACAGAAACTCCTACGTAAAGATAATTACAAGGCACTAGCTCTTATAAAGTTAGCTTAATCTCTACCAAAACCCCTACTCGAAAATATAATTCTAACCTCTTAGCATATCTACTCGGTATAAAAGAAAGGGATGCACCGGAATCAAATAAAATAACCATAGGTAAAGAATTCACCAAGAACGCACCGGTCAGGATATCTCCCATGTTCTCCACAGCTTGTCCTCTCGTCATGACATTGATGTGACCTTTCTGGCCACTCTTTCCCCCTCCTCTCGCACGTTGAGGTGCCAATGGCGGCGTACGACCTTGCTGCTGTGGAACTGGGGTCCTCTCAAACGCATTCGGAGCTCCAACTAACTTGGGACAAAACCTCTTGACATGTCCCGGCTCATGGCACTAATAGTAAGTGATGGGCTGGCCATCACAACGACTCCCGGATGACATTTTTCACATCGGCTACAAACAATTGGACCTCTACGATTGTCACTCGAATTCCCAGGAGTGAATTTAGGGCGAGATGCATAGGGCGTACCCAAAAATCTCTCCGATTGATCCTTTCGCTTTTGGTTCTTCAAACCATCGCTCACATTCCCTTTTCCTCTATCTGCCCTGTGGACTCCATCCCTCCACTCATCATACGCTATTCGATTTGCCCGATCGATGTTAGTTGCTTTCTCGTATGCCTCATGAAGGGTCGACAAACTGAAGCCGGCTAAGAACCGCTGAAGGTCTCTATTCAGCCCACCAACAAATCTCGTCAATTTGCACCGATCATTCGCTGCCAAATCCTAAGCGTAGGCAGCCAATTCATTAAAACGCATGAAGTATTCTTCCACCGTCATATTACCCTGCACCAAGGCACTAAAATCATCCTCGTTTGCTCTCTAAATGTGCGGAGAATAAAAGTGCACCCTGATCATCATCTTGAAGGCCTCTCACGGTAATCGAACCAAATTGCTCCCGGAAGCCTTCTGATTATTCCACCACTTCTTGGCTAATCCTTCCAAATAATACGCAGCTATCATCATCTTCTCTCTTTCTGGGAATATCACCACCTCAAATATAGTCTCCAAATGATCCCACCATTCTTCCAAAATAGTCGGGTCCGATTGACCAGTGAAAGTCGGAGGACTATGACATAACACTGCATCCATAGCACTCCGGGGCTGCTGAGTGAACTGTCCCATAAACTGACGAAAGATCTCCAATGTCGGGTCTGACGGTCGAACGGGACTCTGAACTGGAGGCTCAGGGTTTTGGGATTGCCTACTCTCAACCTCTTCATCGGAATCAGGTGCCACAGGTGGCTGACGAGCATGCCTAGGGGGCATTAGGCTAATTGAGACGAGACCTAATAAGCTCCACTCAGTCCGATACCATGTCCAATGCACATAAACACATAGAATAAATATAAAATGAAATGCATGCCATGAATGCACCCAAACCCGACTAAGCCCATGATCTAATTGATTTTAGAAATTTTGAAATCTTCAAGTTTTATTAACCAAGAAGCATGAGTCTTTAACCTAGGCTCTGATACCAACTGTAACACCCCGGCAGGCTCAAACCGAAGAGTCACCGCCACGCCACACCGTAAGGCTTGTTCGTCAACCAACGAGTCCTACGTTGTGGCGCTAAGGCTAAAATAATAAATAAAACAACTAATAGAGACTTACAATTAAAGCGCACCGGCTTATCAGTTAAATATGTAAAGTTCAATTCAAAAGCATAAATTGAAAATAGTTTAAAAGGAATTAGTCTTTAAACATGATTAATGAATTTCAAAAGCATTTTAGAATTTAAAGTAATTCTAATTCCCCCGATGGATCATATGACATGAATGCATCATTTAGGTATAACGGAAGCATGATCACATTCAAAAAGATTGTAAGAAGAGGGTCAACACAACGGTTGAGTAAGCGCAATTAATCGAAGATAAATTAATACAATATAATGCCATAAAATTATTTGAAGAAGATAATTGAATAAGATGACACGTATCACATAAGGGGAACTCACACACACGAGTCTTTTAGCGCCTCTCTTATATCTCCTTTTCATTCTCAAATAATAGTGATGAGCACATCACTAAGAAATCTCCACTAGACCTTAATCAGGGCCTGCTCGACCCGGTTTTCCAACCTTATTACTTCGTATGACACGTCACATAGTTTCACATAACAACCATAGGATCACAACCCTGAAAACTCCACAATGTGTACATAAGGGTTCAAAATCCAAAGTACACGTAAATCAATTCATTATTAGTTTGCGAGGGGCGCCATACGGCCCACAACCCTCTAATCTCCAATATAACATACCAAGAGGGGATTGTACGCATTCCAACCCTCTATCACGGATGACGGTTAAAAGAAATTTTTCATCTTGAATGACTGGCACCTCGGAATCACCCAAAAAGGGAACCCGCCATCTCGATCCCTCGACCCAGCCCATTCGGGATCTAGTTTAAGGTTAGTTAGTTATCCTAAAATACCGATATACCCTCACGTGTTTGCAAGGCACAGAGGTGGAAGGCTATGCCTTATCATCCAAACAATCGATGAGTTGATCGAACTCGACGGGTAGTTTCAATTACCAATTTGACCAAATACTCAACATGCTCTTAGGCAAATTTCAAGCTTCTTCGAATGGCATGGTATCTAAGTCGCAACATTGTTCAATTGAAGCAACCAATTGTAAATACGTGTCTGGAACTGAATCAAGAAGTTTCCGAACAAGTGTATTGTCTTCAATTGTTGAACCAAGATTATTAAATTTTGATACCATGGCGCACAAGTTTCCAGGAAATTCATCTATCATCTCACCGTCTTTCATTCGAAGCCTTTCGAAATCACTCTTCAGCATATGTAGTCTTGCCCTTGCACCCGATCGGCTTCAAGATATCTTGTCATCAATGCCTCCCAGATTTCCTTCACTGTCCCCTGAGCATCCATTATGGCTTCCATCTTTATTACCCATGTCGTATAATTATTCGGAGTTAACATGGGACATTGAGACGGGATTGAACCGCTCTTTCCTCCTTCTGCCTCCATCGACATATTTTTCAGTTTTCAGATACTTGTATATTGACTTGGCTCTGATACCAAGTGTTAGAAATTGAATTCACAAAGATCGGGAATATGCAAAAATAAATCTGAATGATTTTTGTGATTAAAAAAAAAAAAAAAACAAACTGCTACACTTGTCTGATAATTATACAACCATGTGCATACAATACATCCTACAAGACCAATGAACACAATCTTATAATTCTAATAGGCACGACCTAACAGACTCTGTTTTAAATTTGAATTCTAAATAGACATAACTACTAGAAAAATAATGGAATAAATAATAAAAAATTATAATATATAACTAATTATATAATCAACCAAATAAATCAAAATACTCCCAACACGAAAGACGTCTTTCAGTTGATTCAAGTTGCTTGGGAGTTCATCTTTGACAAGGCGGAGGTTTAACTATTACTTGAAAAGGAGCATTGTACAAGTTCAAGTCAATCGCAGTGCATGGAGGAAAAATATTTTATGATTTCACGAGTACGTTAACGGCTTATACATCTAATCTTTAGTATGATATTAGATCGATTAGAGAGGTGCTGTAATTTTTTATTTCAAATATAGATCCAGGTTAAGTATGCTATGAGATGTCATTTTGGTGATCCGAATGAAGCACCTCCTCCACTGGAAAGACTTAGCCCAGAAGGAGAATGATGTTCATTGAGGAACTTATTCAATGCATAGCCTCTCACGTGGAAGAAAATATATTGAAGGATCTTAAGACCAAAATTCATCCCGTGGTTCATCTGGTCCTGATTACCTTGTGATGGTTTCTCTTGTATTTAGTTTCTATTTAGGTGTAAATCTCCAGATTTATTTTCGGATAAGAAAATATATTATTTTCTTGAATTATTTTAAATTTCTTTCTTTGCGCGCAATTATTTTTCAGAAAAAACATTATCGATGATATAATCTCGATTCAATGTAGAAATGTACATAATAGTATAAATGCTTAAAACATTGCCATAAATCACGATAAGCTTAGGATAATGTAGTTAAATTTATTCGCCGTGAACTTTTACAATGCCCATTTTCAACCCATTCGCAAGCCTTTTCACCTTGTCGGAGAACAACTCCTAAGCAACTTGAATTAAGTGTAAGGCATGCACCTTTGGCGCAACTCCTAAGCAACTTGAATTAACTTGAATTAAATATTGTAATCTAAGTCAATCAAATAAATTATTGATTATTTCTATACTTAGATTACGTAATTTAAGTCAATCAAATAAATCAGAATAACTAATATAATTATACATTATTATTTGCCCATATTTAGATATGGAAATATATATTTTCCTAACAATCTCCCACTCGAACAAATATTATTTCCTGAGAAATTATATTATCGAATCCGTAGTTGCACAATTGTATGCTATTTTTTTTTTTGACTACCTTTAACAATCTTATCCACCACATGTACTAACAATGGAATCACCAAGGCAGTCACCACATTATAAATCGTGGTTAAACCCCGAAAATCACCATATTAATGTACTCAGTGATATGGATCAAATATGGTGAGCATCATGGAAATTTCATGAAATGTGATCAATATCATGCTAATTTCTTTTAATATCCCGCAATCTCCAAGCTTTCTGATCTCCAATAAGTGAGCATATAATCCATAGTTCTCTTCAAATAACACATTACGCGTTTGGCTGCTTTCCAATGTTGTTCTCCCGGATTGCTCAAATATCTGCCTAAAACTCCCACTATAAATGCTATATCGGGACGAGTGCATAATTGAGCATACATAAGACTTCCTACGGCCGATGCACAAGGAATTCTATGCATCTTATTTTTCTCATGATCAATGTTGGGACACTGTTTGAGACTAAATTTTTCTCCTTTAGCAATAGGGTATCGAGTTGTTTGCTGCCTTTCATGCCGAATTTTCCCAAAATCATATCGATGTAATTCTTTTGTGATAGTCCAAGAATACCTCGAGAATGATCTCTAAGTATTTGGATCCCTAATACAAAAGAAGCGTCACCAAGATATTTCATTTCGAATTTCTTTATGAGAAATCTCTTAGTTTCATGCAAAAGACTCATATTGTTGCTAGCGGAAAGAATGTCATCGACATACAAAACCAAAAATAAATATTTAATCATACTGAACTTACAGTACACAAAATTATCAATGAGATTTACCTCAAAACCAAATGAGGTGATAACTTGATGGAATTTGTAGTACCATTGACGGGATGCCTCCTTTAGACCATATATGGTTTTCTTTAACTTGCATACCTTAGACTTTGCATCTCCAGACACAAAGTTTTCAGGTTGTACCATATAAATTGTTTTCTTAATATCTCCATTAAGAAAAGCAGTCTTTACATCCATTTGATGTAACTCTAAGTCAAAATGAGCTACCAGTGCCATAATAGTTCGGAAAAAGTTTTTCGAAGAAATAAGAGAAAAAGTCTCTATGTAGTCAATGCCTACCATTTGAGTGAAGCCTTTAGCAACTAGACGAGCCTAATATCTTTCAATATTGCCTTTGGAAACACTTTTGGTTTTAAATATCAATTTATAACCAATGGGTTTTGCACCTTCTGGCAAATTAATAAGACCCAAACGTCATTGTCACTCATAGATTTCATCTCATCTTTCATGGCATTAATCCATCTTTGAGAATTATAGCTAAGCATGGCTTGTCCAATTGTGGTAGGATCAAGCTCGGTCAAACAAATACCATCCTCATGCTCCTAGAGAAATAATATATAATCATCTGAAATAACACTTCTCTTTTCTCTAGTGGATCTTCTTAGTGGCACTTCTTGAGTTTATTGAGTTTGTACTTCAGTTGTAGGAGGAAGAAGAATTTCAGTGTTGTCCTAATTTGGAACAATATTTTCGACTGGAATCTCAACATTGTTTTCTAACACTGGGGTTGAATCCTGAACAATGATAGGCAATGACCAAATCATTGTCTACCACAAAGTCTTCCTCAAATGCAATGTTCCTAATAACTTCTTCCCTCTCAAACTCAATTTTCTCAAGAAATATAGCATTTCTCATCTCAAAGAATGTTCTTGATGTGGGATTGTAAAATTTGTAAGCCCGTGAGTGTTCCGGGTAACCGACAAAACAATAGCTAACCGTTCGTGCTTCGTGCGCCCTATAAGGTCGCACTTCTTCCGGACAACCCCAAATTTGAAAATGTCTAAGGTTAGGCTTCTTGGCCACCCAACACTCATAAGGGGTTTTAGAAACTGTTTTGCTCAGTACTCGGTTGAAAATATGAACTGCAGTTTTCAAAGCTTCTCCCCAAAGTGACTCTGGCAAGGGAGAATAACTAATCATACTCCTTACCATATCCTTAAGAGTCCGGTTTCTCCGTTCAGCAACACCATTCATACTAGAGGACCCCTGTATTATTTATTGCAGAACAATACCACATTCTTTGAGGAAAATTCCGAAGGGTCGAGGATGTTGTTCTCCCGATCCATCAAATCGGCCATAGTATTCACCTACACGATTCGATCTAATGGCCTTAATTGTTTTTCCAAGTTGAAGTTCCACTTCAACTGTGAAAGATTTGAAAACATCCAATAATTCAGATTTTTCATCAATCAAATATAGGTATCCAAAACAAGAGTAATCGTCTATGAACATAATAATATATCATTGGCCATTCCAAGATGCCGTAGGAAATGGACCACAGATATCAGTGCGAATGCATTCTAAGACTTCTTTAGAACTATCAGCCCCTAATTTCTTTATGTTTGTTTGCTTCCCTTTGATGAACTCAACACAAACTGGAAAGTCTGCATCATGTAAGGGATTAAGGATGTCATCACACATAAGCCTTAGCATTATCTGCTTTGAAATATGACGAAGCGAATGTGCCATACAATGGAAGAATCCTTTAAAAATTTCTCTTTATACCTCTGGATTAAGTTTGTAGTACAAAATTATTGGAAATTACAAGATCAAACATATCAGATTATCAATTTATTATAATAGACTTTTGGAAATAATAGATTTATACCACATGGAGACAAGTGTAGCCAAAAGACTACTCGCCTCTACTTTTTCATTTTTGGCAAAGTATTGCTCAACGGCTTCAAGAAACGATTTAGCCGTTTTGCTCTCAGCAAAAGAACCACGAAATGCCTCCGGAATGGAGCACTTCATGATCATCATGCACATTTAGTTCGACCGGGGACAATTTCTATGGTTTCCTTCCGGATCTTAAAGTTTGTTTCATTAAGCATTGGAATGTTATTAACTTGAGCAGAAATATTGGGCGAAGTAGCAATGGTCACTGTAAAGAGAACAATACAATTACTCACTAAACATTAATGTCATAAATAAATCATGCATGAACAAAATATAAGTATAATAAATTGGGGACTCATTCCAAGACACCCGGTGTAACATTAATCTCGTCGGATGATAGGAAATTAACTACAAAGGTAATCTTGGTGCAACAATCAAGTATTGGTAATAAGTTCTGTCAAACATAAGTCTATCGAAGGACCGAAAAATGTGCACTTGAACAATATAAATAATTATCATATACTTATCATCACATGTGCGTTATTATTCAGCCAAATTGCGTCTACCGGAGGGCTGATCACAAAACGCATAAATAATTCACACTATATTTATGTAATATCAATAAAATCAATCTTCACACCCAAAGGTTGCGGAGGCAACTTGATGGTTCGATTGACAAAATTGATAAATTAATAGACCAATTAAATAAAAAAATATTATCACACTAAAGTATCACCTCCAATTTAGAATAAATCCATCCATTGTAGAAAAATATTCCACAATAAAATTCATCTTCTTTTACGCGCACAAGGATTAAATCATCCAACGATAACGTGCGACAAAATTAATTTTCAAATATATTTATATAAATTATAAATTCATATAATCGCATATAGGTGGCTCTGATACCACTTGATGGAAAAGTTTCATTGATAATGCACTCTGCATATCTCCAATCCATGTGTCCTATAGCGATTTATATGAAAGAAAAAAAAAAAAAACATTATAACATACCTGGATCCATCGAGTTTCTTAATGCGGAACTGAGAACTCTAATAATTGGTATTACGGCCTTCCTCAACTAAATCGCCTAATTGGTCCTTCGTAATCTATTCCGATGTGGAAAATAGAGAACAATGATTGATTTAGTGCGTTAGGAACAATAACCGAATGTCCTTTATATAGTGGTCAATAGACCACCAATAATCACCTAATTTGTATCTGCTCAATTTATCCCATATCAATACGGCAGTAATTGACTTGTTTCATAATTAGATCACGTAATTTAAGTCAATCAAATAAATGATTTATTGTTTTTATAATTAAATATCAAAATCTAAGTCAATCAAATAAATTGTTGATTATTTCGATAATTAAATTATGTAATTTAAGTCAATCAAATAATCAGAATAACTAATATAATTGTAGATTATTATTTGTCCATATTTAAATATGGAAATATATATTTTCCTAATAATTTCAGCATTGCAGTGAATAGTAATGAAAACTTGAGGCCCATTTCACGCATGGCGCAGCCGATTGCAAAGCTCTTTCTGGTTGAAGATCCAGCAACGCTTCCTGTAGTCAGGCCAGCACACCCATTGTTCGAGACCCCTTTTTGCGCTACTTGCATCAGCTTTGTGCCTTCTTTTGTATTTTGTTGTGTGGCGGTGGCGTTCATCGTCCAATGAGTGTTTGTTGGGGGCGTCCTCTGCCTTTGATCCTCAATACGACAAGTTTTTGTTCCACGCCTTAGATTTCGGTTGCTGGGGAAGGGTTTAAGACGAACAATTTATCAGCAATTAATGCAAAAATAATTGAAGGGTGTTGGAATGTATATTGGTAACTATTGTATTTCCATATTCGGTTATGGAAAGTATTGATTACGCTTGATATTAGGAGAGATTGTAGCTATTTATTTATTCATTATACTTTATATTTTTCTATAAAATAGGACTGTATGTATCCAATCTCGATACGATGAAATATACAATTTCTTTTTTCTACAAAGGGTTTACATTTGGGACATCTTGAATCATCTTGGATGATCTATTCTGGAAATGGCTGAAAGTATATTTACCATTTTAAGGCATAAGTACATCCTAACTTTAGGACTTAAAAATACATTAAAAAATATATTTATGAATATATATAAGAAATAAATATGGTAAAATATAAAGAGGTGTTAGCTGTTAGTTGATTTAACTGTTAGTTTATTTAACTAGCGATTCAGTTAGCTATTTGTGCGAAAGTATTTGGTAAAGTAGCGGTTTGATATTAGACTTTAAAGACATTGTATTTTATTTCAAAATTATTTAGTTGCATTTTTTTTTTGGTATGTAGGGTTTTTTAAAATTATTATTATTACTTATTGAAAATTATGAAAATTTTATTAAAATATCTGTTTCTGTTATTTTTTTTAAATATTTTGTAAGAATTTTTTTCTTTTATTAAAAAAAAATATGAACTTTTTTTCCATTAGAAATAGTGTAAAAATAATGTATATAATTTTCTATTAAGTTAAACTTTTTATTAAATTTATAATTTTAAATAAATTATTTCTAGTATACTGATTATTTAAAAAGAAAATTATGTGACAAATATATAGTATATATACATAAATTAATAAGTATTTTAAATTTATAAAAGTAAATTAATAAGCTATTAAAAAATATATTAAAATAATTAATAAATACTACAATGAAAAATATATTAATACTTATAGAAGAAATTACTTATATTTAACGGCAAATAAAGAATAATTTTTTTTAAAAAAAGAAACAATAATTTGGAAACGCTAATGCTATAAATTGTTTCAGAAATTAACTTTTTTATGGTCAATAAGCTATTCAAAAATCTAATTTACCGAATCCATAAATTAAGGTCAAATAGCTAAAAGCTTACCAAACACCCTCGAGATATTTAGTACCTTAAGTAATATTTAAAAGATTAAGAAGAATCTAGAATAAACTTGTGTTTTTATACTAATATGTCAAACAACAAAATCATGAACTAGAATGTGTCCAACCAAATTGAAAGTAAAAGGCAATATCACTTTCTGGAAATTAATATTAGAAAAAAAAAAAAAAAACACCTAAAGACAATTTAAGGCAATTGAGTTGGAATAACAAGTCTTGTTTCGCAATTGACAAATCCGAATCCGATTCCGATGCCGACGCCGATGAACTCGTCACCAGCGACTTACTCCGGCAGTCCGAGGCTGCTCTCCATTCTCCGGCGATTCCCAAGCTACTCGAAAAAGGAAGATCAGGGAAACTATTTTGAAGGCTCACTTTACAACCTAATGACTCACACTTATGGACTAACCCAACGGCCTCAAAACAAAATCACAAACCTACGGACTCAATTTCAGAACCTTAACTCTAATCGACTGATTTCCCCAAGAACCTCACGAAGAACACCCAGAGAAACAACTTACCGGAAGGAATCGAACTAGAACGATTGCAATTTCGGCGAAGAAGGAAACCCCCAAACTTACCGAGAAGAACGGCAAAGAAGATGAACCAGAGAAAAAACCAGAAATCAACCGTGATACACATTATACTGAATGAGAAGGGAAGGGGGAGTTATAAGGTGCGAGTGGGTCGGGTCCTTAGAACCTAGGGAGGTTAAAGGGTTTTGGGTTGCGGGTTGGACTTGGTAATAGGTTGGGCCAAAAATATCAACATTCTCTACCTTTTTTTGGGCAAGTCATTTACCGATGGTTGCTCCCGTAGGTTATGCATCACAGCCTCGTGACCTTTTTCGCCTAATCAAGTCGCATGGGAATCGCCCGAGAAGATTCACCTATACACAATAAACCTACACTCACAAAAAACGTTGAGTAAACCCTGTACTCACAAGCAAACATTAGTCTTGCAGAAACTAATAGCTCATTCAAAAAAGGGACAACTTAACACAAAAAAGACAACATGCGAACTCCATCTAAGAACTAATCACAAAGTATATACATGTCATGACACCACAAAGAAAGACATAGAGAATGCTTATACTAAAGGATCCTATCACATGCTTGAACACATAGAAACACAAAGACAAGCATATATCACACCAAGAAATTCGACGTGGATTGCAAAGAAACTGAGAATATAGGTTTGCACACATTATCACAAAGCCTAAGCAAACACTATCACAAAGCCTAAGCAAACACTATCACAAAGCTTAGCAAACTAACATGCAGTTAGACAAATATTCAAATATTCTCGGGAAACTAACAACCTAAATTATTCACTTAATCTAGAAAACACAAAGAATGAAACAAAAAAACAGCAAGCAATCAAACATGGAACAGCAAATAACCAAGGATGCAAAACTCCATTTTTTATTTCTTTTCACACAAAGAAGAAAAACAGTAACACCGATTTTAATTTTTAAAAAATCTGCACAGGTTTATTTTTTTAAAAAAAAATCTGCACAGAATTTTACTCATAACAGAATTCTCAGCAACAAAAAAAATATTTCAGCACCTGTTTTCACAAGAAAAGAAGCAGAAATGCCAATCTTTCAAAGAATTATCCTTTCACGAATATTCACATGCTAAAGGAAAGAAAAGAAAAATCAAAACTCAATCAATATACATCACCTAAAGGTTGACTACACAAAGTCATATTTGATTGATCATTGGATTCAATTACTTGATTTGTGTTATTTACTTGACCTTTATTAGCAACACTAGGACACTCTAATATATAATTGACTACTCCACCACAACCATAATATTTTATAGGCAATGATTTATAATTCTTTTCTTTATTTTTCTTTTTATTGTTATTCGATGATTGATTATCTCTATTGTAGCTGTTTTGGTTACCTATTGAAAGCTCTACCTTTTACATGCAAAACTTCGCCACTTGAGTTTCCAATTGATTTATTACTACTAAATCTAGTTCTTTACTTTTTAAACCATTTATGACTATATCTAAAGTAATGTTATCTCTTCCATATTTAATTGTGGATTTAACATCACTGTAAGAATCAGGAATGACATTCAAAAGCACAATTGGAGAATATTCATCAATATGTTAATCTCCACTCAACTTTATATCTTGAATTAGTTTGGTAAAGACATTTATATTCTCATCAACACTCTTCTTAGTGTCTAGTTTGAATTGAAAACAAATTTCAAGCAA